ACTGTGCTTGGGCGATGGGCGACCGTGCAGCGTGCAGGTGACGGTCTGTTGCGTTGTGCGCTTGAAGCCTGTATGGTTTGGGGAACCAATGTCACCCCAATAAATTCAATTAAAAAAAAAAAAAGAAGTGATTGGGAAAAAAACATACTTCCTGCACTAACCTTCGCAAAAAGAAAAAAAGAAAAAAAAGCTCTGCGGCCGGCTCGCGTTTCTCCGCGGCAGGCCCTGCGCAGCCCCGCTGTAGGCCCGCGCCCGGGTCGGGGGGAAACCAGGCCTCTGTGGTTTCCGAGTGTCTCCGTTCCTGAGGAGCTTTGCACTGAGGTGGAGAGAGTAGGTGGGATGGGATTATTTTCTCACTTCAAGCATCCCCGCGGCCCTGGGGCANATTATTTTCTCATTTCAGGCATCCCCGCGGCCCTGGGGCATCCTGGAGATTATCCCCCGAGAAGCCACCTCTGACGTGTCCCGAAGCCCAGGGATCAGCGTGAGTCATGGTGCTCGCAGGGTGCTCTGGGGTGGGGAAGGAGTCTGCCCTAACTGTCCCTGGCAGGGGGAAAAAATCCTGTTTTGTCATACTTGTCTTGTAAATATTTTAGTGCTGAAATGACTTTGAATACAGTTACTAAGAGGTGCACAGCGTGTAATGTCATGGGCTCTGTGGCGGCCAGGCTAACACGCCTGTCACCTTGTCTCTCTAATATGCCCCGAACATTCCTGCCTGGAGTGAGAAGCGTGAATGTTATTTTTTCGGCTTGGATCTTGGCAGGTGTGTAACGTGACTCCTGATAGCAGGACAGCCGATTACATTCGTCTATAAAACCATTTCTAAGGCTCTTGGCACCCAAACTGTTATTGCATGTCTGCAGGTGTTTAGTAATTGGATTAATGCAGAGCCGGAGGAATGTCTGCTCCCCGGCTCCGAGAAACATCGAGGAAAGACAAATTCATTTCGGAGAGTGACCTGGAATGCACGATGACAGGCCTGCGCTCACACATGAAGCCGGCTCTAAGCCTGCACGTTTAAAATGAACTGCTGTGAGCAATCACCTTCCATAGGAAAGTTTATCCAAAGCTAAACACAATAACAATGGCCCTGTGAGCCAGGCGGGAAGGAGCTTCAGCCTGGGTTTTGATCAACTTCCAAAAGCAACTCAGACAACTTGAGCTTAAGCCTTCCTATCATACAGCTCATGAACCCTACAATCCTAGGTGTTTAATAATAATAATTTTAAAAGGCCTTAGTAACAGAAGAGGAGGATAAGCCTCCCAGTGGAAGTGCGGAGACCACAAGAGGATCCTGGATCATCGCAGTCTTGCCAGTTAGTTCCCCCTTCATTGTAAAGACACAGTCTTCCCTGCGACACAGACCTCCTAGAACATGCTCATAAAGTGATGGGCGGTGTTCACACCCCATTGCAACAGTGACCAGTGCCTAGACGTGGCTGCTCTTGGGGCGATTTTGTCATTCTCGCTAAATTGAAACTTACAGTACCCTCCGGGAGCAAGAAGCCAAACTCTCGGGCTCCCATCTGAGCAGATAAAACCTAATGGTTTGGCCTTTAAACCTAACTTCTTTCCCAGCTTTACAACTCAGAAGGGAGGCGGACCATTTGGAGAGAGTCCAAATAGACGGAAGATAATGGTGAAAAAGGCAAGTTTTGTGAAGAAAGGCAAAAGAATTGGTACTGCTTAGTTTAAATCCTAGAGGGGTAACTTGTAGTTCACAAATATTATCACAGTGGCAGTGAGAACAGAATGGGGAGGGGGAGGACAGGGCAGCCATAGCTTGCAGAGCATGAGTCTGAAGAGCTCATAAGGCAGAGTATGTAAGAAATCTGTGTGAGGGAGGAGTGGGGCCCAAGTGGCTACTCATTCGACAGCATTTGCTGGTCACAGCTACGTGCTAGGCCTGAGTGTGTGGGGATTGCAGAGTGACCGAGATATATATTCAGTTTTTTGAGAGTTACCGTCTAGGGAGCTGGGATATGGAATCGGAACACTCTGGATTTGGTAACACAGATGTTCTGAGAGCTCATGGGAGCATTTCAGTGGCCTGGGGTAGAAGCAGGGCAGGTGGTCTGGGCAGGTGTGCCTCCCCTTTGGAGGACACCAGGCCTTCTTGGCTAGGTTGATGGGGTTCAGGTTGACGTGCCAGCTGATTTTACAGCTCTCTATTGGATAGAAGTTATACGGGAGATGGAGGATGCTATTCTGATTGCACATTTGATTGTTTGGGGTTGTAGGTGGGTGGAAAGCAGAAGCCTGGAGAGCTGCTGTGGTCACTTTGACATGTTCTTCCAAGATCTGGAGAAGAGGAGGACTCTGTGGGACACATCGGGGAAAGCAGGATATGGGTAGATAGTGTGTGGAGAGGAAAGTAAGAGAAGCCTACAGATAGAAAACAAACAGAAACAAATAACAACAACAATAAAACATTCAAATGGAAGGTGGCAGTTGGAGGGGTTTGAGCAGCCGGATCTGTCTGGGAGGCAAAGTGTTCAGAGCCTTCCTCATTCAGCTGTCAGTGCGGTGGGCAAGCACTTAGGGCCATGGAAAGCCAAGTAGAGTTAAAATTTCCTTCAGTTGAGGAGGCAGAAAACCTGAATTTCCCCTTTATCACTAAGTTTCTGTTGGTCTCATCAGTGAACTGGGGTGTCTTGTTAGGTAGATATTTCTGTTTAAGCTGATTGTAATGCTATTGCTCAGGTAACATCTGGAGACCCTTTTAGCTCTGAGGCCAGATTTATTTTCTAAGGGGAGTCAGGGTGCCCACAGATGGTTGGCAGGATCCTGTGGGCCAGGAAGGAACAGGGCCCTCAGCAGACTCCTTCTGCTCTTTGTCAGCTGCTTCCCTCAGCTCTGCCTTACCCTGGAAGCCCCTGAAAGCACAGAGTCCCTCTGCACTGGAAATCCCTCCTTGTTTACAAGATATCTGGGCACAGATTGAATTCTTAACATCACGGGCCAATTTCTTCACCTCTTTTACACATCTTATCACATAAAGCAGCATGCTGAAAGGTCTCAGTGCTACCAAGGATCGCAGAACCCAAGAGTAGCTTCATCTGGCTTTGGAAATCTGTCCAAAGACGTTTCTATATATATTCCACTTCCTCTGTCAGCCCACAGTTACCGCCCCTTACACCCGAGCAGCCAGGCAGCTTCATCACCCTTCTCAGGCCATTGTTGGTTCTAACACGAAACTCACCAGCAGGGTAACTGTCTCCAGCCCTTCCTGGGAGACATCTTCCAGTGAAATCTCACTGACCTGGACACTGCCTGGCAAGAGGGACTAACTCTGAATTGTCAAAAGTAATGAGAACCAAGGGAGCCATTTATACACCCAAACTGGACTAACAAATGTTTCCTAATTAGTAGAGGGCCTTGTGGGATATATTTTCAATAAGAAGATTGAATTGGATCACAATTAACATTACTTAAACATACAGTCAATGCAAAAGATTACTTCATTAAATCAGACAGAAATTCTGCTTTATCATCCTGTCTGCTTTGCTGATTTTGTTTAATCAAAACCCTTTTTATTCGGAGATGTGGCACAGGTAAGTTTTAATCCAGACATTCAATTATCCAAATCACTGACATTTTCCTGTTCTCAGAAAAATGCTCCAGGAACACAGGCGGCTTGTTCCCCCCTGCCTTGGCTGGCAGAGCAGGGCAGGGTAAAATATAGAAAGCTGGCAAAGCTCCATTTTCAGTCCATGCTAAAAACTGGGACCAGTCCTGCTTCTCTTCCTGAAATAGAAAGAAGAAATGAATGAAGCCCTTCTTTATGTAAAATTGGATCTTACCCTCCTAAGGGGTGGAAGCCCCTGGATTGCAGATGAAAAGGGCCCAGTTTTCTCTGAGAATAATCTGGGACAGGGAAGTGGAGGTGAATGGCAGCCTCTGTAACTGCAAGAACTTCTCCCTGGTGACCTCCAAGAGGACAGAGGGAGGCACCTGGGGGTCAGGGATCTGAGTCAACACAAAGCAGGGAGACATGGCCAGCAGAGAGCTGGGAGTAGAAGCTTGTACTTCATGGCCCCTTTTACTCACGCCCTACCTGGCCTGGGGCTCAGCAGGGCTGCCTGCCTTCCTTCCATCTTCTCCAAATGGTAGGAACAAGTCAAAAGGGGAAGCACTAGGGCAGGAAGGGACCGAAGAGCTCCATGCTCAGAAGGGCTTGCTGACTGACCTATCCATTCATCATTCAGGAAGCGTTAAGTATTCACTGTGCCTCAAGCCCAAGTCCAAGGCTGGAGGTGCAGAGATGAGTGATTCACAGTTGCTGTCTCCAAGGAGCTCCCAGTCTGAGGGCCCAAGAGGAAACTGCATCTGGCCAAGAGTCTTGGAATTCTGGCTGCATTTGTATTCGGGCTTCCTTACTCACTGTTGATTTATTGTGCCAACCTTTTGTAATTAATTGGGAACATCAGTATTTTGTAAGATGATGAAAATTGATAAAACCTGCATAAGCAAGAGAATTGAATTCAGGGAGAGGCTCAGCCTCAGGTGGGGTCTAAGGTGAGGCAAGCAAGCACCTGTGGCACAAATTTATGGAGGCATCACTCTCAGGGCCACACTAGTGTGGGGTCTGCCCAACACTAGCTGGTTGACAGACTTTGTACAAGCCAGTTAAACTCTTTGAGGATGTGCCTACAGCATAGAGTTGTGGAAAAATTAATAGTACAGTCTTTGTAAAAGTACATTGTAAACTGTAAACGACATAAATACATGTCGTTTTAACAATAGTAATAATTGTTTATGATGTTTTTCATTAATCACGGTGATATTAATAACCATAACCAAAACATCCCTTGTGGTAAGTAACATTATATTAGAAAATGCAATATAGAAATCTCAGGATCTGGCTCTATACTTTATAAGAGGCAGTTGTTAAATATAATACAGTAGTCAAGTGTAGAAAGATTTTGAATGATGGATTCAAACAGACTTGAATTTTAATTCACAGTCTGTCACCTACAAATGATTAGCCTCTAAAGTCTCAGTTTTCTTACTTGTAGAAAGGGAGTAGTAATAACAGACTCATAGGGCTGTTACTGAGGGTTAAATGAGATAATGTGTGTAGTGCTCATCATAGCGGAGGCCCCTGCAGAGCACAGTGTGGATGTGAGCTGCTGCTGCTGCTGGGTAGGGACTGCAGCAAAACCCGTTCATACCACAGACCAGATGTCTCCTGAGATACTGGGCTTTTCCCGGTTTCCTTAGCTGAGACCATATTGCACAGCTCTACATCACAGTGATGTTTTCCCTATAGGCCTGATTTTAGGAATAATTATACTAAAAGTTATTCCCTCTTTCTTAAATTTTTCCAGAATTGTAGTTGTGGTGGAAGTACCCAAACTAAAGGTTGAACTTTTTCTTTAAAAATAGGAGACTAAAAACTACATTAAAGGAATTAGGTTTTTATGTCATTATTGTTGTAGGGGTTTTTGTATGTATCTTAAATATTATTTTAAATTGGCA